TTTTTTAAAGATTTTATTTATTTATTTGAGACAGAGAGAATGAGAGGGAGGAGGGTCAGAGGGAGAAGCAGACTCCCCGCCGAGCAGGGAGCCCGACGCGGGACTCGATCCCGGGACTCCAGGATCATGACCTGAGCCGAAGGCAGTCGCTTAACCGACTGAGCCACCCAGGCGCCCCGTGAATTTCACATTTTTAAACGACGATGTGAATAAAGAATGAGACAAAGACTGTGTGTGGCCCACAGAGCCTAAAACAGTTCCTACCTGGCCCTTTACAGAAAGCGCTTCTCAAAGAAGGCTGAGAGGCAAACAGCCACGTGTCCTGGCCTTGGGGGGCCAGGCCTGAGTTGGCATCTCAGCCTCACGACTTACTTGATGGACACATCCCTGAACTCCTCTGGCATGAGCTGCCCCCCCTCATGAAGGCAGCCCCCTGCACCGGGGAGTCTCACAGGACATGAGGGGAAGCAACCCCCTGGCACCCAGGAAGCACAAAGACCATGTGTGTGGTGTTGTGACGCTACATGAGGTCAGGGACCGCCCCGTACCCCACTATGTGCTGCACTGTGAGCCATCTAAGGGCAACCGTGGCACTTTAAGGGGACACTGGGCTGCCCTCGTGAGTAGTCTTAGTGAGGGTCAAGGGCCCAGGGTGGCTGAGTGGGGTATGGAGGCTTAGTTCTGCCCATCCTCAAGAGCCTGCTGTGCAGCCAACACAAACAAAGTCCAAGCCAGAGACCTGCCCAGGGAACCACGTGGGGAAGACGCATGTTCAGTCTGGTCCTAGGAGCTCCTGGTTCATCCATACAGGGAGGTGCTTATCCACAAAGAGCCTTTGGCTTCCACATAAGGCACAGGGCAGCATTACAGTGCTCTCATGTGCTGGCCTGAGGAGGTGGGTGCTATTCCTGGACCCATTTTTATAGCTAAGGAGACTGAGGCAAAGAGAGAAAAGGTCTCTAACTCACCTGCGACGGGACCACGTTGAGAATGTGCTTCCATTTCCTCCTCATACCTGAAGAAGCTGTCGTGAGCAGGGCAGAGGTCCTCAGGAGGCAGGGCTGGTGAAGCAGGGAACAATTAGAAATTCAGCCCCACCTCAGTAAGCCCACATGACTGAGCCCACTCTCATCCCCTGACAGAGGAGAGGGCTGCTAGTGCCATCTGAGGAACATTGCCTTAGAGAATGAGGAGTTGGGAGACAGGGCTCTGACCAAGTGCCTTAAAGTCCAAGGCTCTGAGGTCAGCTGTGGCAGCCAAGCCAGCTTTCCAGATGTGGAATGGGCCAGCCTGCCCAGATCTGAGCCTAGGGATGGACCTGGGCTATCCCAGGCTCAAGGACAATGCCCAGGCACATGTGCGCTTATCTGAACTGTGAGCCCACAGATACACAGCCATCCCTCAACACCCAAATAATGGACTGGCCAGTTTTTCCTGTCATTTCAAGAGACTAAATCGGGGGAGGTAGAAGCAGAGTTTAGACAACGGTACAATTTTAAAATATCCCAATGAAACATCAGCCGATGTCTCAAGAAAACTGTACAATTTCTGAATACCAGTGAAACATGAGCTGGCTTCCCAAAAAAAAAAAAAAAGATGCACAATTTTTTAAGTATCACAGTAAAACATCAGCTGGTTTCCAAAAATGGGGTTGGAGGGGATGGGGACAAGGAGGATGAAAATCCCCGAGAGGACAGCTAAGAGCACTCTGTTGGGGGGTGCTGTCCCAGGTGCGCACTCCCCAAAGCCACTCTGAAGGTGCAGGATGCTGCCCCATTGTGTGTGTGGGGGGGCACACCTATCATCCGATACTTTACTGGACTTTGTCATTGCTTCCCACACTCTACTTATCTAATAGCTTGGCTGCAGTCCTGTCACTGTCCCACTGAGACAGCCAGGCAAAAATTCTGCCACATCCTGCCTTAAACCCTTCCCCGTATTTACCTCCTGCTCACCCACTTGTATCAAAAGCACATCTACACCTGTGTGCACACACACACCATCTATCTAGTCACTGGTCATTCCAGATGACCCAACATTCCAGAAATGTATGCTGCGTTTGTGCATTTGTTCACACGGAGCTACTGCTCATTCTGCCAGATAGCATCTTTCATCTGTATGGTGCCATCCAGGTCAGAGAACCTTGGACCCTCACCCCTTTGAAACAGAACAGGTATCATCTGGGCTGGAAGCCCAGGGAAATCCAGGCCTCTCATTCGTTGCTTCCAGGAGGCAGACACTTGCTATTCTCCCAGGACTGAATGCTGGCATTTTTCTTATTCTACTTTCTCTGTAAAACTCATTTCCCTGGAGAATCAAGAATCAAGTCACATATCAGGGCAAGTGTGCTCTCTCCATGCCTCACGTTTTTGGCAGTTCTCACCTTCGCCTTCAAATGTTTCGGTCAGTTCCTCAACCAGTGTCATCTCTTTGAGCTTGTCCAGGTGCTGGGGTTTCTCTTAGGTCCTGAGCTCCCTGGAGAGCGTGTTGGGGGCCACTCCTGGCCAGAGCCAGCAGGTGCACAGTGCCTACAGATGGGCCGGGACCTCAACACTTGCAGCTGCTAAAACCACAAAAGCCCCAGAGGCAGCTTCCCACTGTGCTCTCTCGTTTCCAAGACAATCTGTTTTGAGAACTCTACTGCTTCCAACACAGCTGGGGTCTGAGAACTCCTTTCCCAAACTTAATTCTGCAGACACTCTTTTCTGGCCATCACCTTCATGGTGGGTCCCAACCTCTCTTTGTCACACAAACCTAATATCCTTCAGGCAAAACGAGCACTCAAGTCCTCTGAGAATCACTATAGAAAGGAGAGTGCTGGGCTACCTGAGTGGCTCAGTCAGTTAAGCGTCCTACTCTTGATTTCAGTTCAGGTCATGATCTCGGGGTCATGAGACTGAGCACCGCGTCAAGCCTATGTGTTGGGCTCTGCGCTGGGTGTGGAGCCTGCTTAAGATTCTTTCTCTCCCTCACCCTCTGTTCTCTCCCCTCCCTCCCCATGCATGCACTCTCTAAAAATAAATAAATAAATAAACTTTTAAGCAAGCAAGCAAATAAATAAACAAATAAATAAATAGAGGAGAGTCCTGAGTAGCCAGTTCACTATTGAAGCAGAAGACAATAGCTTCAAAATTCAGGGTTGTCTCTTAGCTTGGCACTCAGGCCAGTACAGACAAGGCAGCAATAACCATGCAAGAAATGGAATGCCAGAATGATTCCAACAGCTGTCAAATAAGAAATTTTTTTTTGGGGGGGGGGAACATTTGTATCCCACTAAAAAACGTTTAAGGCAGAACATAAGTCTGTGACAAAATGTTCAACTTTCAACTTTTAGAGCTGGTGTACACATTTACCTGACTCCCAGCATTAACTTAAAAGAACAGAACCACTCCCACACCAAAAAAGGTCAAAGTTCCATCCATCCACAATGACGCTGGAATGTCCACACTGTCCACAGCACACACCTAACATATGAGCATGCATAACACGTCGACTCAGCAGGCCTGGGTGGTCCATGCCCCACACATTCCAAAGGAAGGCCTGTTCCCTGACCAGCTGCTGGGAGGTAACCTCTGAGCCCCTGGGGAGATCCTACCTGATAAAATGTCTGTTTGCTTGGGGACACCCCTACAAAGTGAGTCTCAGGCTCAACTAAAGGACCCACAAAGAGAAACATCTCCAGGAAGTGTGAGAAAGTTGGACCTTTCTGTACAGCAGTGGTTCTCAACTGGGGGCAGATCTGCCCTCAAGGGACATCTGGCAACGTCTGAAGACATGTGGTTGTCACAACTTGCAGAGGCCTGAGTAGAAGTACGAGGCAGTACTCAACATTTCCCCTACCAGAGGATGACTCTGCTTCCAACATCAACACTGCCAAGGCTGAGAAGCCGCTCTACAAGGGCAAGGCCGTGTCCCAGGAGCACCAGGACTCCAGCTCTGGGCCAATCGCACAGATTAGCAGAGCTGCAGAAAATCTGGCTCACTCAGCCCTCCTTCTTTTCTTTTTCTTTTTTTTTAAAGATTTTATTTATTTATTTATTAGAGAGCGAGCGAGAGAGAAACAGCATGAGAGAGGAGAGGGTCAGAGGGAGAAGCAGGCTCCCCACTGAGCCGGGAGCCCGATGTGGGTCTCGATCCCAGGATCCTGGGATCATGACCTGAGCCGAAGGCAGTCGCTTAACCAACTGAGCCACCCAGGCGCCCCAGCCCTCCTTATTTCCATCATCTTCTCTTCCTGAGTAAGATGGAAAACTCACAAGCTACTCAGGACAGAAATGACAGCAAACGTTGAGGACACTCACCTCTCACTCACCGGAAGGAGAACCCACACAAAAGGCTGTCGCACACCAGAATGCCACTAAACCTGTGTCCACACCATCCTTTCCTCGTCTGCCCATGGCACAGGGCACCTGTCTCACCTTATCCCCCTCTGCACACTGATTAGGGTTTTGCAAAATTTTTGACCATGTCTGTGGTTGGCTGGCTAATGGCCCCCAAAAGATTTCCATGTGCTAGTCCCCAGGACTTGTGAATATGTTACCATGCAGGCAAAAGTGACTCCGGAAACGTGTTTTAGCTCAGAATCTTGAGATGGGGAGATTCTCCGGATTTTCTGGTGGGCCTGATGTCAACACAATGATCCTGATAAAGAGGGAGGCAGGAGGGTCAGGGACGGAGGAGAGGTGATGGCGAAAGTAGAGGCTCCGGGGCCACAAACCTACACGTGGTCTCTACCTGATGCACTGCAGACCGACCACGCACATGTGTACTTCCTAACCTGGAAATGTTTGACTCTCTGATCTTCACATGTGTACTGAAAATACAGGAGGTTGAGCTGGGACACCTGAAGTCCTTCTCGACCCCTCCTTCACTCTCACTTGTCACATTCAGTTAGCTGCAAAGACCCAGGGTCCCCACATTTCAAATATCATGTGCCTCTCCACACCCTTGGTCTCTGACGTCTGGCCTAGCCATTGCTTTTTGCTCGGCTTACTGGAGAAGATCCGACTGGGTCCCATGGCCTGTCTTTCCCCTTTCTCCCAGCAAGCCATAGGGACCACGGTAGATTGCAGCTTCTGTCACTGTGTGGCAGCTTCCCACTGTCCTCAGGTTAAAGTTCAAATTCCTCCACAAGCTCTGGAAGTTACTTTCTGGATTAAAAGTACACACATGGAGCGCTGGTTCAGACAATGAGTTGGGAAAAACCCAGTCTTTTCTCCTGAATTTCTCCTTTACTCCAATATTCCAAACACTTCTGACCCTTCTGCTCACCAAATGTGTGGGTTTTTTCCCCATACCAAACACTTCTCTGTGACACCAGCAGATCGTATCTCACTGGTTAAGGGCTCACTTCCACAAGACTGCCCCACCCACTTCAGATGCCAATCACAAGGAGCAGGTCCCCAGGTTACCCACAACTTCTGACTTAGCTACAAAGTGAAGATTCCCATGACCTCCTCCTCCTTGGATCCAATTATTTGCTGGAGTGGCTCACAGAACTCAAGGGAACATATACATCTGCCAGTTTATTAAAGTATACGATAAAGGATACAGACGAACAACTAGATAAAGAGATACATGGGGTGAGGTCCGGGAGTTTCCCGAGTGTAGAAGTTCGGGTGTCACTTTCCAGGAATGTGGACGTCCCTCTGCCCCTCCCTCAACTCATGCTTGTTCTC